TGATAAAAGCGTGTTTGATCCAATCCACAAAATACTCCGAAGACAACACAGCCAACAGATATGGACAGATAACATACAAGTGTTCTGAAAATAACAAAAGGTACTAAGTGGCTGGAAAGATGAAAAAGCTCTAACCCCTTCATGATATATACTTTAGGCAAATGTTTAAATCTTAAAGGCTATGAAAATTGAGTGTTAATTCAATTAAATGACTTCTGCTGCCTTAGTGCTGAGAGAAGTAGAGATATCGACAGAGATATCTCTAGTTTATGCAAGGAAGGACAATTTTAACAGCAAATGCAAGCATTTGAAAATCTGCAACTATTGCAAACAGTTGAAATGAAACAGTGTCTTTTCCACCATCAGACTGAATTTAGCACTCTTTCAACAGGTCATTAGCCAGAGTTGCTGTTTGCTGCCCTTCTTTTGAGACACCTCTATTTAAGGGACCCCAAATTTGGTTGTGACTGAAATGTTCACATGAAATTTACATCTGCTAGCTAAGTTGGAGGGGCATCTCTATTCATGGGACACTTTTTCTACTCCCCAATGTGTTCCTTTCAATGAGGTTCCATAACACTCACCAGCGTTCCAATTAAATTCTGTTAAATTCCTAAGCGTGACGATCACCACCAACACAATGTAGTAAAATCTTTCTCTAATATCTGTGTATGGAAAAAAGGTAATCTCAGAAAAACAACTAAAAGGGATGCAAAAAAAACCTTCAGAGACATCCATCCAAATGGTCAAAAGGGAACAACAGTTAAATGTTATTCCAACCAGTGTGTGAATTAATGAGAGCTCTTCACTGGAGAACCACGGAACCAAAAATAAGTAATCAAAGATTAATACTGCCAAGGAGCTTACATACGAGAATTCAAATAAATACATGTAAACAACCTCCAGCAAGGGATAACTAAGCTTCAGTTTTGTATCTAACTGGTTGAAAACTCAGGATTGTGCATATTTCCCAGCTTAATTATTGTTTGGCACTTATTTATCTATTTAAATTACCAGGTGAGCAGATGGCAATTTCAAACACCTACCGCTACATGCCATTTGGAACAAGTTGTTCTTCTCAAACCTCTTGAAAACACTTCCTTTCAGTTCAACAAACTGTAACAATCAAGAAGAATAAATGTCACCAAAGGCTTTGTTGAGAGAAAAAACTGCAGCCACCAAGTTAAGTTTCTCTTGCTATTTCTGGTCATCAATTAGCCTGCTAGAGCCTTGGACTCTAAAGCAAGGTCCAAAAGTATGTGTAAATTTTTTACACAGGAGGCAAATGATGATCACCCTCTTTGTTTCAATTGCCTTATGGCACAACTGGGTCCCTAAAAAGTTTGATTCATAAAAATTTGCCCTCACAGCAAAAAAATCAAAATGCAACAGTATCAAGGCCTTTGATACCTCTGCTTCTTTGACTAAACATATAGCTGCTCCTGAACAATCACCAGTTGAGTTATAAAAAGACTCTCAGTAAGTTGCCTGCTTGCGACTAGCATTGTTGTCAACAATCAATTTTTGGTCTCATTTGTGTTCAGCTGATCCCAATTGTGTGCTAAATATCAAACCACTTCATTTTCCACAAAAACAATCTTAAGAACTAAACCAGTAATGCTCTTACTTGGTTTGATACCATGATTACTAACAAAGCTTTGTTGTGTGAGTTCACGGCAACATTGAGACAGATGGCCTGGAACAGTACCAACACAGCGTGGAAAACTAAAAGAATTAAGGCAAACAGCTACAAACGGTTGTGTGTCTATGATCTGAAACAGCACATATTATGATGTGGTCCTTTGCTGACCTACATACTGGTTCATATTCCTAGGGATAAACTTGATTAGCCCCTGGCCTACATGCTGTACCTGGCTAGCTGTTGACTGTCATTTGGTTGCCATATGACCACTTTATTTGGTCCGTTCCATCATTCCAGATGTTTCTTTACCCTTCCTCCTTCCCCAAGGGGGCTTTCCTTTAGCCCTTTGGGGCTCCTTGTTTCCTCATTAAAAATGCCCAGAGAGATTCTTTGTCTTATTTGTTTAAGAGGGGTGTGGCAGGGGATAATTATAAAGTAAGAGAGCCCTAATAAATCCACTGAGAAAAAAATTTGTGATCCATGTGAAGGATACACACATAAACTACAGCCATTGCAAAATGTGGAATTATCCCAATATGTTCTCTTCTTCGGTCTCTTGGTTCTGTCGCAGTCCAGAAGAGAGCATCTAATATGTCTTGGCCCACAGACGAAAAGAGCCTGTCTGCAATCTGTGGTTACAAATATGAGAAGGATGTTACTATCCCTTTACAATGAACTTTGCTAAAAGCAAATTGGCATTCTAATCCATGCCTGCATCAGCATCTTCTGTACTTTTTTTATGGCAAAAGAACTAAAAAGTTCCACCTACTTTCCCTTTTTTTTTTTATATTCTTGTAACAAATTGTAAAATCAAATCTTGTATCAAGAATGAGTCAGGCTAACCATGATTACAACAGTAGTACTAATTTACAAGCACTCCCTCCTTTTCCGCAAAGTCAATTGCCCAAATCACAAAAAAATCAGTGAAAAAAATTGTTGTCAGCATAGAGAGCGAAACTCTCTTCTTTTTATATGCCTCACACCCACATTTCTGTGCTGTGCACTAGCATCAATTTTTTTTTCATTGATTTTTTTCTGACCTGCATGATGGATTTTGCCAAAAAGAAGGGACTGCTTGTAGTCTTAAGTAGTGCCTATCAGAATAACTATGACGATTTTTATTAACTGCACCTCTAACATGTTGTAAATGACATAAAGTTTGATGACTGATTGTCCACGGACGGTGTGATACAACACTGAAAAGTCCACATGGGTCAGAAGCAACCAACAGGTCACAAGAATCGATCCTGTAAATGATTCAGACTCATATAAGGAGATGTTTTTGTCAGATGCACAATATACATCAAGTAAAAAGACAAAATTAGCCATAGAAATAAAATGAGGACTTGCCTTTTAACAAATCACATATCTGGACAGGCTGTAGCATCCGTGATCTGTGCGATGAAAATATCAAGAATGGCAACCTGTGAGATGAGCACTGCTAAAAGTTTGATGGATATTGTTTAACGAAGATATGCAACAGCTTGTGAATCGAATTAAGGCTAAATTTTTCAATTTCTCTGAAGTGTAGTCATTTTTGATATTGTCATGTGCTTTATGAAACTGCTATGAACAGATTTTTTCATTCACCAACATGAAAGGTAAATAAGCATAGCTCTTATCTTACGTTCTACAAAATAACAGCCCTGTAATGATCTTGTACAGAGCAACAACCAAACGAACTGGAAGAAATGTAAACATGAACAGGAAACAATCCAAGCACAGCATGAAACCAAACACCATCAACTGCAAAAAAGAAAAATAGAAAATTGGACTTATAGTAAAATCAAGTTGTTA